AAATTAGGAGGCTGAAAAAACTCAGCCTTGCAACATATCTTGATAAGCTTCACTATAAGAACTAGTTAATTTCTGTGCAAAATCACCAGATTCTGCAACCAAATAGCATAATAGATGGTAAGAAAAGCAACAGTGTATTTAATAAGGTTAACATTCCCAGTTTAAATCTTAAATGATCAACTTCTTGACTATTGATGATGACAGATAAAGAAAATGCAGATCACAAGTCAGGCTTTCTGCATGGTTGTTCCAACATTGTTGTTTTTAGGAAAGCCCAGACTGAAAACTCTCATTTTTGAATGATCACTTTTTCCCTGGATTGATGAATGGGCAGCCATTTCCAACTATTTATATTGATCCGGGGATTAGATTTTTACTGTGGATCATTATTTTGTTTTAATGTAAATTGATTGGGGAAATATAAAATTGCATAAGTAATAGGTGACCAAATAAGCTACAACAATTTGCTATCATATTGCAGTGGCACAATCCTGGGACATTTTTGGAGTTGCAAAAGATATTATAGGCATCTGCAGAGGGGGACAAAAGATCAAAAATGAAAGCAATATTACATCATTGCAAACTTCTCCTATGTATGCATCGTGACATCAGATGAACCTATGTACGAAAGGTCAGCATTTGTCGATGCCTCTGGTTAGCACATTTAAAAGGTGAATCCTTGCCTAATTATCCAATGATGACACTTCATTCAAAATTCAGCTAGCTTGACAAGAAAGCTGCATTGTTAGAATGCAATATAAAATTACATCAGAAATATCAATGTGAGCTATCAGTTATGTACCCTGTATATGTAGGTGTGTGTGTGTGTGTAAATTTTAGTATATTAAGATTAATCAATTATAATTATATACTATAAATATATAGTCTGCTTGGTTTTGAAAAGTTGTTTATATGGGTTAAAAGCCACATCAGATTTTTGAAGTTTTCAGATTGCATGTGGAATCTTTGGTTTCTCATAGTTGTCAGATACCACTTACTGGGCAAGAGACATTGGAGTGTAAATGAGCTGAAGTGGGAAGAAGGAACTGAAGTAGTTGCATGAATCCTTTGCCTCATTTTATTTATTGCTTGCTGCAGCATCCTTACTATCATTTTAGAGAACTGTCATGAGAATTGAATTACCTGCAGTGGTTAGAAATTAAATCATTCTACTTTCTCTGCGTAGAAGCAATCATTATTAAGCCTTCACATGAAAAGATCAGTTTCTCAACTGCTCAACCCTTTCTTTAGTTCCATCCTACTGTTCGTTGTTTTTGAAATGCAGGTGCCATACCTGTTTGAGTGTTTGATAATATATTCCCTACCAAATATGCTTTTTCTCTCTCTTTTTTTCTTCCATTAAATCATGTCAAATTTTCACAGCATTAAGATAGCAAAGGATCAAAATGTGGAATTCCACAACCCTAGAGAGGCTCCTATTTACCTGAACCCTAGATACCCTCCCACTTACTCTTATGCATGAAAGTAAATGTATTTGCACACTAGAGTGAATTTGAGAATCTTTTCTGCTATTGGGTATAGGGGAAAGAATTTGTTAGGTTTGTATTTTGATATGAACTGGTGCAATTTGTGCTTTTAAAACTAATAAACAATTATTCTTTGGTATTTATACTTCTTCAATTGATGTGATTTCATTCTTTGATTAAAATGTATTTTAATCAAAGGCTCAGATTATGGACGTTGTCAACCAAAATTACATGAAGTATGGAATAAGGCATTTTTGTGTATATGCAATGACCTAGGCATGTTCAAGGACACTAATACATGTAAAGAGCTGAGCAAATGAATTAATTTTACCTGGGGCAATGTACATATTTAAAAATGCATATTTTTAAATAATCATAAACCGAACAGGGCTAATTATTCTTTTATGTGGATATAGTGATAAAATAAGCAACAGAAAGACCAAGGTGAGGAACGCCCAACATACTTTCTTAATTTGGAAAAGTGAATCTGATACTACTTGACTGGAAATAATTTCTATTGTGGATATAACGTTAAGTGTATTCTGACACCTTGGAATGAAGCTAGCAAGCACCAACAAAGACTGCTTGGTAAGTTTTACTTTGTGGCCCTGAAAATTACTTCTGATTAAAATGAAGTCCTGGCTCATGGCCAGACCAAAAGGCATTAGTCTTTTGAGGAAATGTACTTCAGCTCCAGACAGGGATGTGGTTGTATATCTACTGCCTGATATCAGGCCCGGAAGCAATTCTGATGTTGTTCCTTCTTACTGCTTAATTCCAACCCTGTTTTGAATCCAATACCTTATTGTCATGACGACAAATCACTCCTGTAAACAATTTGCTGGCATGGTCCATAAAGCATTGTCCTCAGCTGGATGGGGCAGTGAGAAAGCTGTCTCCATGGCAACCTTAGTTCTAAGAAATAAGAAGCGACCCCTTCACACTGTATTAATAGGGGTACACAAATAACTATAGTAAGTTCAAATTTGCCTCTTTTTCTTTTTTTACTACATGCTCCTGTTCTTAAAACAACAAGAAAGATCTACATGGTTTCTTTTCATACTGTTGTCACAGAAACTCCCTCCCTTCCTCCACATACACTGGTCAAAGAGTCAAGGAAATAGTACTGCAAGGCACAATAATTGAATAGCTTGGAGGAATTGTTAGATATTTGCCTGGGTAAGATATCCATTTATCTTTGATTCCTTACTTTCAGGCTTGCCCCAAACTTTGGGCTACCTCAACAACCATCACTTTTGCTAATTATTCCTTAAATGAATATTGTTTCCATGATAGCCCATAACTTATCTGTTTCAACAGTGTGACTGTACAATAGGAAGCTAACTAATCAGAATATTCTGCAATTTCCAATTTAAAAAACAACTCTTGAATACACTGATGTGGCTGAAAACATGTTATAAACATGCTAACTAACTTTAGAATTTTTTCTGATTCTGTAGAACTGAAACTTCATGGCAATTCTCTATCTTTAATTTCTTCCATAATAGTTTTATTATGAATAAATAAACTATCTGAATGACATCATTTAGAACAGCTGCCTTTTTGATGACTGATAATTTGCACTAGTCATAAATCTTAATTTTGGAAAATGATAAAATAAAATAAAATTATATTATTCTGCCTCTTGCTGCATTTAACTATCTTTTGAAAGCATTAATCCAAGTCACCTAACATATCTGCACAATTTTTATCTTTTTCAATTGCCAGCATTTTTCTTTAATCAACTGTTTATTTTTATTTTATTTTTTGTTGTTTGTATTCATCTACTTTCCTAATTAACAGATTGCCTAACTAAGAGTATAGAAAGGTCTGGTTTGTTTGAAGAAACTGGAACTTTTATTGGTATCTTTTAGATTTTTAAAATGCTCCCTTTGCTTAATTCCATTCTGTTTCTAGTTATTTTATGTATATATTTGCAGTAAGACTATGTAATATGACATGTTGCCTTTACGAGACAGACATCTAATCACATAGTTTTGACCTGTAAATCTTAGCAGTAGCAGATTATTAAAATGCTTTGGCCCTCTGCAATGCACAATGTATCAGAAAGCTACCCTTCACTCTTAAATAACAAGATTTAGTTCAACTGCCTAACTCACTTTCTCTTCTACAAGGAACTCACTCAGCATACACAATATTCTTTGTTTTGATCTATCATTGCATCTACAAATCCAGCCAAAAATGTATACCTCAAACAAAACCTACAGTTTAATCTCAATTATTAAAATTACCGTTTAGTCTAATTTTCCCACTTCGTGGTAACTGGGCTTTACCTTGTCCCTCCTCCCTAAATACTGGGTCAGAATTGTGCCATTTAGCTTGCTAGATAAGGAAGTGGGGGAAGGATACAGATTCCCCCAAGAGATTAAAAAAGATTGATCCATGGTTTGATAAGATTCAACAGTGGCAGTTAACACTTGTTTTTAAGAGATATAGAATTAATTAGCATACCATGGCACACGCAAAATGGATTTGTCTGTACAATAAATACAAAGTAGACTCAAAAAATTCATTTCCCCAAACTGCAAAAACTATCTGTCACAAATGTTCAGCCATGATGTAATTTCTCAACCCTAACAAATATAGCATGTAGATACAACATTGTGGCTCCCACAGGGGACTGTCTGGGTCTCTGGAGTCAGACTTGTTGGGTCAATCATAGCCAACTCTTCTCATTAGTTCTCAAGAGAAGAGAAAACATATTCTTTTAATCAACATACTAATTTCCCTCCTGACTGCAGCAAATGGGAACCCAGCAAGGCTACTTAGCAGTTGCTAATAAGATATATTTCTGAGAGCTTTGATGGCCAAGAAGAGCTTCAATTAGCTAAGTTCAGTTTTTGAAGAAAGTGAGAATCAGCCTTTAACTTCCATGCTCTGAAGAATTTCAAACAAGCTTGACAGCCACTCAGAGCTAAAGAGGAAAGCTACATAGAACACATCGCTTGGAAAAAAGTAAACTTTTTGAAAGTTACAGATGGCAAGTTTCCTTGAAACTCCAGTTCAAAGGATCAGACTTTGATCCATTATGTGCTGCTTTTTATTTGTCTGAGACCTGGATTTTTATTTTTGTGTATATGCTGAGATCAGCAGTCTAGTACCAGCCTCTGAATTTAGTTCCGTTAAGCCTGCCAGCATAGACAGTGGCAAAAAAATTATGGACCGTAACTCTGATCTCTGAATAGAATAACTTTTTCCGTGGATAGAATGCCTTTTCTTTCCTCATCTCTGGAATTCCGAATAACTTTTGGATGAGGGGGTACTGATCCAACAAACTTTCTTTACATTAAATGGTAATGTCTTCCCTCGCTACTGGCTCCTGTATAAAATCTGAACTCAAACTGTATTGATGTGAGTTTTTAAACAAATGAAATGTGTTTCCCCCTCATGTGGGAAGGGGAGCATTTCCAGAAATTGATTTTAATTCTAGCTTCAAAGATCAGTTCATAAAACTAAATTCTACCCATTTATCAGAAAGGGCTTTCACAATACCTGGTCATCCACTTTGTGAGCAATGAGTGTGGCTCCTTCTTCCAGCTCTGCCATGCTGATTGGCCGTATGCGAAGTGCCACCTAGAATACAAGAAGATGGATGAGTGACTGAGATATCTCACAATTTGTGAAATAGCCAAAGAGCAACAGAAAGAAAAACGAGCACCTGCATGGAAGTCCTCAGTCTCCGTGCCCTGGCCATCCAAGGCCCAAAGTGTAAGCAGAGTTTCTTCAACTCCCAAGTTCTTCCCTGCCCAGTGTGCCTCACCTGAGTCCGTCTATCACCACAGAGAGAAAATCATCTGTGTGTCTCTGAGGCCCTGGCAGGTAGCCGCAAACAGACAATGAGAGGCTTTTTCCTTGGGAGGAAAGGAAACACCACCTGGACAGCAGCATTTCTGGAACAACATATCCAGCTACAGCCACGTCAGCCTATAAAATTCATCCCATTCAATCTCTAAAGCCTCCAAGAGATTTAGTGACTTCAGTTCACTGTTTCCCATACAGATAACAAAGGGGTGAACTCCAACTGCACAGCTCCCTCGTCCTATTAGCAGGGCTTTATCTGTTATCCTGACACGAATGTTAACACAGGATCTGAATCCATGGAAAACATCTTGCTTTCTGTTCCTCATGCTATTTGAGTAGAAACCGGGAACTTCTGGACATCATCCAAAATTTGCTGAACCAAAAGTATTAATTTCACTCACCACTGGCAATTCTATAATATCTGTTCAGAATTGTTCAAAAATTGCAGTGAGGGGGCCAGACAGTTTCCCTGCTCCAAACCTAGAAAGCACATCCCATGGCATTGCTGATTTCAAAGACAATTAAACTATTTCTTGTGAAGCCAGGCAAAATGTCTATGATGGGTTCATTCTCCAAGAAAGATTTCTTTCTTGTTATACAAATACCGCAGCAGCTCTGAAAGGATTCTTTAAAGTCTTCTTTCACTTTTGAAATTTATTTCATACACTTTTCTCCACACACCCCCATCACAGCACTGACAACAAAAGTAACCACTTTCAATCCTCCAATACAATAGCAGTAACACTTAGACTAATATACTGCTTCATTACTTTAAGCCCTCTCTGAGCGGTTTAGCATCAACATATTGCCCCCAACAATCTGGGTCCTCATTTTACAGACTTCGGAAGGATGGAAGGAAGGATACAATAGAATTTTATTCCAATGCAATATATTTTCAAAATAGCTTTACAAATGTTGTCCTTGAACTGAATGTTTAATTGCACATTAATGTGTAATATGTACATACAACTTTCATTAAAAGGCAACTGAATGATTTAAATTATGCAATACACCTTATAAACCATGTTTGAAAAAGCTATATATATCCTCAGCAAGAGATATCTATTTCCAATTTATACTTTTTTAAAATTCTAGTGAGCAATCAAGGCTAACTACAAATCCTTCCCATTCATATTTCTACTGTATTCTGCTGCCTCCCACAACTGCTTTATTTTACATTGGAAGCTCCAAGGAGTGGAAATCTCTTTTACTTTTCCTCATGTTGCTCAACTATATGTACTAAAAATGCAAAACATAATAAACTGTATCAGACAACAACACTGAATTTGACCAGGAAAGCCCTTTCTTATCTGAGCATCAATTTATAAAGATAAAGTTGAACAATTAACATTGTGCTTATATAATATACATTATATGAACACAGAATTATGATCAGAAAACACCCACTATTTTTGAAAGGCCCAGTTAGGGAAAACTGTTTAAAACAAAGAAGCTGAGCATCACTGACTCCCATTTTCTTTGGCACTAATGACATAAATGCGAGTATTGCTGTATCGAGTTGGGCATTATTTATAGTGCAGTTTGACCATTTCACTCTACGCCATAAGATTTAATTGAGTTTTATGTATATTGCCATTCCAATTTATGGGACAGACTATGTGATGGAAACAAGTAAGGCCAGATCCCTCTTGATGGGACAGGTCCTTTATATCGAGAAGACAGCCTTACAACCATCTACTTTTATATTTGATGTACTTATTAACAAGTCTAATAATTTCATTCTGCTGCATTTGGTGGCTTCTTCTTGCCACCAGAAGGGAAGTTTTAACAAAAACCCTATTAAATGTTCCTCTCCAATTTCTAGTAGTTCCGCAAAGGCTTTGCCTGCTTTTTTTCTCAAGCTCCACCAGCTTCTTGCTTTTATTGATAATACTGGCCGGGAATTCTGGGAGTTAGGAGTCCGACTCTTTTGGGTCTAACCTTCCAGGCCCCTTTCCACTTCCACTCACCGTGAGCTGCTGATCCTTGGACCCTCTGGTCTCCTTCATGATGGTAACTGGGTAGCCCAGACAAGGCGGGCTCGGGCAAGCGAAGCTACAGCACGTGTGCAGCCCCCGCGCACTGCCAGATTCCCGGGACTCCTGGGTCTCGTCGGGTGTGAGTTCTGCTCTGAGCTAAATGAAATCTCCCCGCGAGACCAATGACAGGTGTTTGGGCGCCGCCATTCAATGCGTACTGGAGTCCCCCCACCCAGCCCAATTACGCCCCCTTCTCTTTGGAAAGACAGCTGGCAAGCAGGCGCCCGGGCTGGGTCTCCCCTCGGAGAGCTCTGCCGCCACCGCCCTCCATCTGGGACCGGTGTGCAGGGAATCTGCCGATGGCGGGCCGCCGCCTCGCCTCACCTCGCCTGCCTCCTGGTGTTTCGCGTCCCCTGGAGATCTTTCCAAACTGTACACAACAACCGGGTGCGCGGGAGACTTCCTCCGGCTGATTCTGTGGCGCACCATTGGCTGAGTTGGGGTTTGAGCGGCTCTCCATCGCTCTCTGCCGGCCGGCGTGAAAGGGAAGGCCGAGATCGCCTGGCTGAGGCGGGAAAAGCGCGCCCTCCGAAGTGCGACTTTTGCAGTGCAGGAACCGGAGGCCGGAAGGTTGGACGGCGCCGGCGATAACATAATTTACTATCTTAGCCTGCGCAGGGCGCACTTATTTCCCCCATAAATCTGGAGGAAGATTCTTTATTTTGTAACTGGTGCGGTCCGATCTAAGTATAGTATATAAAATCATACATTGCAGTGTCCTACCTGTCAATGCATACTTCAGCTTCAACCTTAACAACACAGGAGCAAACAATAGATACAAACTCAAGGTTAATCGCACCAAACTTGATTGCAGGAAATACGACTTCAGCAACAGTGGTCAATACTCTATCTGACTCTGTGGTTTCTTCCCCAAACCCCCAAAACTTTAACCTTAGACTGTCTACTATTGACCTCACCCCTTTCCTAGGAGGTCTGTAGGGGGTGTGCATAAGCCCACCAACGTGCCTACAGTCCCTGTCCTGTTGTTTCTTTTATTTTTTATTTTTCTTATATGCATGTATTCATAACTATGTTTTTACTTATAGCTATTATCTTGCAAGCAATTGACAAAAATAAATAAATAAATAAAAAAGACGAATGGTTTACAATACTCCTTTCTTTGTTCATTAAAAATAATTTCATTAGGTATGTTTTTTCTTTGAGACATTGTTTCTCAAACTTTCTTCGATTGAATAAACTGAATAACCATTTGGGAATGCAGGGAACATCCAGTGAAGCCAAGAGTCCCCTTTCTAATTTTTTTTTGTCTTAAGAGCATGGGGCTTCATAGTTTTTGGCAAATAAGATGATTATGGTGGCATATATGTGCACTTCCTCTAATTTAAAGGCTTTTAAAAATAGATTTTGTACCCAAAATGTAATCTAAAATTAAGTTTATATTGTTATTTTGAATTTGAATTATTGTATTTATGTCTTGTCATTTATTTGTCATAACAATATTTGCAAACTTGCTGGTCATGAACATTCTTCAACAACAATTTCTTGATTGATAAGGAGCCAGGGCAAATGGATTTCCAGGTCAGTGAAATCCTCATTCATTGTAGTTCATATTTGTACTTGTTTTGGTGGTTGTGGAATCATGATGCTATGGAGAAATGCGTTTTAAAAATCAACCAAACATCATATGGTTGATAATAGTTTCATTTTACTTGAGAATCCCTGCTCTAGGAGTTTAAGGTATACATACTGGTAGCACATACATAATTCTGATTTTTCCCTCAGGTTCAGTTAGGTTGGACAAGGAGTTTTTCTGTTTAGTCTTAAGTCCCCATAAGTTTCCATGGGTGAATCTAGGTCTCCCTATCCTAGTGCAAGTGGTCTAATGGGAATCCCCCCAATTTATGTTAATTCAGGGAAAAGAAATTTAAAACAAGTAATGGATACCCGAGGAAGCAACATGGCGGGCTGACTGAATATCTGACAGATAAGGCTGATGTAATATAATCTAAGGAGATTCCTGTTCCACCACACAGATGATCACACCTGCCATACTAATAATTAGATTGTGCTCAAAGGTACGGTATTCTACAGTGTGGTGAGATGTTCCCATTGTATCACACAGCGGACATACAATAGGCACATCCATTAGTTGGACTGATCCTTCTTCAAAGTTAAATCTGGGCACAAGAAACCAGCTGAAAAGATCCGGACACTCTCACTGGCCAGAATAGTCATGGAGGGCTATGCCCAGAGTCCAGAGAAAAAGGAAGCTGGCCATTAGGAATCAGGATGGTGCCATCCTTTGAAGGATCATCTGGCCTCATGATTGATAGAATATCCATGAATTATGACATACTGCATCCATGACTAAGGAGGGAAAATGCTAATTTAGCACTGAAATAGTTGAGGACATAACATTGATTCAGATAAGGGCAAAGGATCATAGGAAGGCAACATCATAAGAAAAACTTGTTGCAACAACATTTTGTGTCATTGAATACAACCGTGGAAAGATAAGAGAGCTAGGGTGGTCATTTGTAGTAGCATTAGTATTAGATTCCTTTTCTTATAAAGGAAACTGCAGTACTCAAAAGACTTGTAGAGATCATGGTATAGCTCACATTTATGAATATGTAGAAAAAAGGAGGAAAGTGAGGTATATAGCATCGAAGGGCTAAAGAAGGACATATCTCTACCATTTCTTATCTATGAATAGACATCAGTTTTTTTTATCGTAGAAAGTCTGGTGCCTTTTATAATTGAGTGTCAACAAATATTACTTTCTTGCTCACAATTATCTCTAGGCCCTCATTTGGGAAATATGGGTGCTTATTTTAAACGTATAAGAGTTTTGTCATTGTAAAATATGCACATAAGTATATGAAATACACCTGGAGCATGAAAAGAACAAGGTTATTGATATGATCAGCTAGCAAATGAGTTAATTCAGAATAGAGAAATGGATACTGTAAAGTAGAACTTTCCAAACAGTGATACCAATATTTTGTTTATTTTTAGAAGAAACTTGACGGATCTCTGATCACTGTGACAGTCAGTGTTAAAGAATCTAATGTCTTGAGTTGAGGTGGCTAATTAGCAGTTTGAAGTTGGCCTAAATTTGTCTCTGTTTGTTTTTCTGTACCACCATTGGCCTGTTAAGACAATCTCCTCGAATTGGCTGCCCCCCAGAAATGATACTATGCTGGCAGGGGATGTTGGGAGCAGAATTTCAAGAAGTTATACCACATTGGGGGAAGTTTGCCTGAGTGTTTTATAGTAGGCCACAGATGCCTATCTGGAGCATGATATTCAGGATCTTCCATAATGAGATATCCTTACATATACAGCAGAGGCCAAGTGTCAACAATCCCATATATTGCCAAATGTTCCCATGGCATTTCTCGATAGTTGTGCACTGGAGCAGCTAACTAATCAAGCATATATTTGAGCTTTTCAAATTCTCTCCAATGTCTATGAATGCTTAGATGAAATTATCCAGGGCAAATGATGTAACAATAAGATACACCAGCATGGAGCAAGGGGGCATGTCTTACAGGTTTCTCACTGTTGGCCAGTGCTACTGGAAATTGTAGTTCATTCGGAGACTCACAGGTTTCCCAAAACTCAGTTACTTGCTTGATAGGTTGAATGGTTGTCACCCCAATGCATCCCCTGTGGAATTTTACACAGTGTTAAATTGCAATTATCATTACTCCCAGGCAGGGTGCTGGTTGGGAGTGACTCCCTTCCCAATATATTTTATGGAGTGTGGGACGCTGTCTGTTCAAACATGATCTTGTCCTTTAAGAAAAGGGTGTTTTCCTATCATTCTAGAAACAAATATAAAAGTACAGATAGCCCAGATGCTTTAATAAAGTAATGGTGGTGGGAACCTTTAAAAAACTATAGGAAAAGATACTGTCTCCCCAAGTACTGTTGATACTGTGGTAGATAGTTCTTTGAATGGGTATGTAATGAATTAGCACATTGAGAAAAAGAGAAGGTAATTACTGTCTCCCCAGCTTCTAATTTTCTGTGGTCAAAACAAAAAGGAATTTTATCCCTCCTTCTTGGAAAAAAAAGTGTCTGTAATGCTGAAAAGGAAACCTATCCACTGGGAACCATAATCATCTACCAGGACTTTACATGTCAATCTTTCAAGGTAACATTTATAAAGCAACAGATGGACACCATATAGATTGCGAAGCTACCCCTTTCCCCTTTGCCCCTGTCTTTCAATCCTAGAGAAAAGTAGATGTTGTCTTTCTCTTCTCATTTTCTAAAGCTGTGCTCTCTTTAAAGTTTAAATACAGAAATTATTAATAGAAAGAGAATAAATGTAACAAAAATAATAATACAAGCATTTTTCTAACACTCATGGGGAGAAAGATTCACCAGCTCCACATCTCCAGCTAGCAGAATTCAAGATAAATTTAGGGGGCTTGGTTGGGGGTGGCAGTGGGGGAATGGGCAACTAGCAGCCATTCTGCCTTTCAAAAGCTGTTACTCTACCTATTGAGAGAATCAGCTCTGGGAAGAATAATATGATGTGCAACTGGTAGGTATCGGTTAGGGGGCAAATCGAATTCAAATCATGGCTTGCGTTATAGTTTAGAGGGCAAACCCAATTCAGACTTCCAGTTTGGATGTGATAATAAATTACAGTTTGCCAGAAGCCAAGAAGTACATACTGTAATGAAGCAGAGATAAGGGGAAGCATTAGTCATTAAGGGCTAAGTAATTCTGTGACGGGATTTATGCGTTACTCTAAACCAATTATGAGATTTGTATGGCTTTAGCCGAGTATGTTGTGTGAATGTAACACTGTGGTTTGTAAGCCATGGTTTATGGCCTCTTGACTCTGGTGAATAGAAGGTCTGCTAGGCCAATCACATTGCTGACTCATACTCAGACTGCTCTTTTCTCTCACCACAGCCCAACTCAGATGTGCTAGAAGAGAGCTTATTTTCCTATTTTTGTATGAATTTTGGCTTCATGGGGTATAGATTCATGTGGATACTTTCTGATCAATTGACTAATTACAGCTTATTGTTATTTTTTGTCTCTTTTAGATTGAGAATTTCAATGTGTTTTCCTGGTAGAGACATTTAAAGCTAAGTTTGCTAGTTCCCGTTAAGAGTAAATGGAGGAGAAAAGAGTACAAATGTTATCACTTTTATTGAATGTACTTTTTATGTAGAAAAAAAATAACAAGAGAAAGTAAAGAACCAAAAGAAATGAAAACTTTATGCAGGCATGACAACATTCATGCCTCTTCTTCCTTTTCGTCCTATGGGGGGGAAAAGAATTATTTTTTCAGCAGTTTTTTAATAATCATAATAGCCTATCAAAAAGAAATACCATGTTGGTATTTTTATGC